TCCTGATTGTATAAGATATGTGAATTCAGGTGGGTTGAATTAGAAAGCCATTGAAGTTGAATAAGAAATAGAAGATTTATTCTCGATACACGATTATCATTAATAAATAATAGGTATCACTGAAATTGTATACTGGCCAGCCCTTACGCAAAGTGCGAAGGGAGTCCTAACAGCAGGATTATATAATAGCTCAAGATATATTGGAAGTAAATTGATAAAATGGGTGCAAAGGAAATAGAATTCGTTTGCCAATATCTATGCTGAACTATACTTGGTTTGGTATATATCTCTAGTGCAAAATTACTAAATTTATGAAGCCATAGGATGGATGGATGCCGCATCGAATAAAAATCATTTATAGAATTATTGGATTGGTATAGCGGCAGCAACGCCACCACCATCCAAAAAAAACTTCTATCAAGTTTTGCTTCTTAATGAATCCACTTATATATGATAAAATAAATCCGAAAGACAATAGGGAGGATCTCTAGAAACTAACACAACAGTCGAGCCACTACATATGTATACAACGAATTTCTTAATCATTGTTTAATCGATATGCCACCATAGAATCGACCTTGTGATGATTAGTTGAGAAGGGAAGCAATTTAACTAACTCCGCCTCCTTGATTAGGTGAGGATGCGAGTCTCCCCAATCATTTGGAACTTCCACATCTTTATCGGTATACGCGAGAATATTAAATGTACCTATTTATTCATATCATAAAGGAGATATAAAAGAATAAAAAAATTATTCGCAAAAAACTCATTTCAAATATTATATTAATACATACGAGCTTCATCATAGATCGGAAGAAAAGTGACACTACTGACTATCTGTCGTATAACCGCCTGAATTTCTTGTCTGACCTCCTTTTCACTTTTTTCTTTTGTTGCGATTACATTCTCTTTTCCGTCTTTTACGTGCACATCAAATTCCCATCGCTCTAAAGTCTCTCGAGTGTCTTGTGAGATAATTGCAAGAACTAATTTTTTTATTTGACCTTCCTGCAGCCATGCTAGTTAAGTAATAAAATAAAAATTACAAAATGTATAAAATTTATTAAAAATACAATTTCCTGTTATCCCTTACATTCAATTTGGGTAAGAACTTTTTTCAGATAGATCGAAATTCGATGGTCATTAGTTATAAGAAAATTAAGTCCATATTTTTGTGTCATCGAAAAGTCTTCGGGAGGGTATAGATTTCTCTGATAGAATATGCTAATAAGATGATCCCCTTTCTTCTTAGCATATTTGCTCTAAATATTACAACAAGGCAAATAAACAAATACCTATTGATACCGCATTCTATTCAATTTCAATTATGTCATCACAAATTAAAATTCTGAGTACCTCAAGACTAAAATTACCGTGGAAACGTATAAATTTTTATTTTACCGAAAAATTCCACTATCAGCTTCGCAGAGCCTTTAAGAGAAATTTTTTCTTTGTTCGCGGCAATTTTGGACATTTTCACAGTAAATATAGTGGATAATGTTAATTTACGCGCGTCTACGCGATTAATTTTGACCCTCTTTTCAAGAAAGTGACTGTCACGTGAAATAGATCACATCAGCTTTATCATGTATATAGCTGACTCATAGTAAAGACTAATTAAACTCTTGCTATATTAAATTTGAGTTCTCTCTCTGTCTCTCTATCTCACTCACTCACTCACTCACTCACTCACTCTCTTTATAAGTAATATAATAATATTATGTTTATAATTTATAATTAGACTGCAAAATCTTTTATTTTTCACTAATTAAACAGATATTTTGCTATAAAATTAACTGTATTAATATTATTTATAATTAAATCTTTACAATTAATACTTTTGTAAAAAGATATAATTCAAATTGATAATTATAATTATAAAGAGATATAATTGTATTTTATTAATATTATTAATATTAAAGTATAATAATTATCATATATAATGAAAATCATTTTAGAATTATAACTTACAAAATACAATTGTAAATTCATAATAAGTTTTATTTACGACTGAATTTATTTTTTAAAGTGTATTTAGTTCATAACTAATACATCGATCACTTGCATAAAACAGTGTAACAATTGTAAAAATGCACGTTTGCATAATTGAACATCGCATTACTGTTTTATAAATATTGACTACAAAAAATCCTAACAGAATATTCAAGATATTCAAGCATGGCAACCGTTACAAACGAAAACCGAGATTTTGGAGATTTTGTAGCAGCGGAAGGACAATATCCTCTCAAAGAAGCTATATTGTTAGAAGGGGTTCCGCCCAACTTAACAAATGGAACGTCGATTTCCTTAGTCTCTGTAAAATACAAAGAATATAACTCACATCAAAACTCTTCGAGCGGCGAGAGTGTTTCAATATCTGCAACAGAACATGTCGGTGAAAATGTTCCTAACGTTCGACCGTTTTCTTCCTCGGAAACCCTAGTTGAAGACTCCACAGACGATACAACTGACAATGAGAAACTCCAAGCGCCGCAACTACAACAAACACAGGAGCCGCCACTTTCACCTACTATACAAAAAGAACCGTTATCACCCGATGGTTCTCTTTCAATTCTTGGCTCACCGACACAGACATCCCCGAGTCTGAAAACGCCGCTAAATAGTGGTAATGGAGTGGTACCAACTGCTATAGAGGGGAAGGATGAAGGTCCTTTTACTTTTTTCAATTCTGGGAAAGCTAAAAAGAAAAAACAAAATATCACAAAAACTAGCTCTTCGTTTGTGGCGAAAATCGTTATACACGATAATTTGGCGAAAATTTTGGCGAATCGACAGAATGAAGAAACATATTTGTTTTACAATATTGGACGTACTTTTTGTTGGACAGATTTGATTAATTATCCAAAGGTAGGGATCAGGTGAGATTGCTGTTTTTAATGGTAACTTAATTTTCTGAAATCATTGATGGGTCTAATTATAATTTATAATTGCATTCAGGAACCTTTAACGAGTGTTACTTTCACAAAGGCTTTCCCAGTGTGTCATGATGTAAACCTTCTTACAAGATCTTGTGAGCATTTAGATGTAATAATTGGGTTCTCTACGGGGGACGTTATTTGGTTCGATCCGATTTGTAATAAATATTGTCGAATTAATAAGCAGGCAGGTATTAAAATTCATAATGAAGCGTGATTATTTAAATTTTTTCTTGGTGAATTTCAAACTTATTTTTTTCTGAATTAGGGCATAATAAATAATTCACCCGTTACCATGGTAAAATGGATGCCAGGCTCCGAGAATTTATTCATGGCATCATACCAGGACGGATCGATTGTTCTCTATGATAAAGAGAAAGACGATCAAAGTTTTACATTAAACGTGGGTCCGGATGACGATGGGTTAGCGAATAGTTTAACGATTACCTTCAAATATATTAAGAAATCGTAAATTTAAACTAATTCATTACATTTGATTTTATGTGGAAATAGTTTTCGAGTTACACGCCCATCGAAAACCACAAAGCATAATCCTACATCGCATTGGCAGGTATCAAAAAAAACTGTCACAGGTAAAAAATATTATTTAATTGTAATATATGTAGCATATATGCAAGAAACTAAAAACCATTTTTAATTTAGCTTTTGCGTTTTCTCCCGATTTACAGCATGTGGCAGTTGTTTCAATTGACGGATGTCTAAGAATAGTAGATTTTATTCAAGAAAAGTAAGAAAAATCAAAAAGTAATTTTATAGCCCGAATTGCATTGAAATAATGCTCTTTCGATGTCTTTTATCTAGGCTTTACGATACTTATACAAGCTATTTTGGTGGGCTATTATGCGTATGTTGGAGTCCCGACGGAAAATATGTTCTCACTGGGGGCCAAGATGACTTGGTTACAATATGGTCTTTTCGTGACCAACGGATAGTTGCTCGGTGTCAGGGCCATCAATCCTGGGTGACCGGAGTAGCGTTTGATCCGTGGCGATGTGACGAACAAAATTATCGTTTCGGCTCGGTTGCAGAAGATACTAAATTATTATTATGGGATTTCAGCGTTAATGCTTTACATAAACCAAAAAGCGTAAGATGAAGATATTTATTAATAATGTTCGAGAAGCATGTAAATGAATCATCTAATATTTTTTTTCGAAATCTAAATTCATAGTCGAATTCTCATAGACGAGCGAGTTTAGCATCACAATCTGCAGTCACAACTGCAAGTTTGCGACGGAATCTCGTTGAACCAAAAAATACAATACATCCATGTTTGCCTAGATCACAAGTTGCCATTCTACAACCTGTAATGGTTAGTAATCTATATAATTTCTCACAATACTTTATTGATGGCTTCAATCGTAATTAGTACCCAAATTCTTTATATTTACTGATAATATTGGAATTCTTTTTTGTATAGAGTAAATCTATAGATCCGGATCCTTTATGTTCAATTACATTCCGCGAAGATTCAATAATAACTACTTGTCGGAAAGGTCATATAAAGATATGGGGGAGACCTACTTGAGAATGATTTGTTTTCTTATTAATTAGCCAATTTATTTATTGATTATTGTTATATTTTATGTATTTTTATTTCAAACAATAGAACTTTAAACATTTCATTATCTATAATTATAAAAAAACTATGTTACATTATATTATTATTACATTTGATAATAATTATTTTTGAGTAGTGTGAATAAGAACACTGAAAAAAAGTCTATAAATTGAATAAATAAAACCCTCCAAGTGTCTCGCTAAAAAAGAATTCTAGTCTCAAAATTAATTCTGCACCAATAGTCCGAATACCAAAACGGTCATCATTAAACCTCTTTTCCTTTTCGACTTTTCACGTTAGCCTCATTAGTCACCAAACTCCAATACCCAGCACGTAACTTCATTAACTCATCATGAGTTCCTAACTCTGCTATTTTTCCCTGATCCATATACGCAATCTTATCGGCATACAATCGTGCCGTATCCAATCGATGTGTGATCATTAAAGTCGTTCGACCTTTTTTAGCTTGATCCAAAGCTTGGAGAACTTCCAACTCGTTGTCTTTATCGAGTGCACTAGTTGCTTCATCCAATATAAGGATTTTCGAATCGCGTAATAAAATACGGGCTATTGCTATACGTTGTTTTTGACCACCCGATAACTTGGAACCGTTGCTACCGAGTAATGTGTCGTATCCTTGACTTAATCCCATAATGAAGTCGTGAAGATTGACTTTCTTCGCGACAAATTCTATTTCTGATTGTGTCGCCGCGTCTTTGCCGTATCGAATATTTTCTGCTATTGTCATGTCAAAAAGAACTGGTTCTTGACTGACGATGCCAATTTGTTCGCGTAACCAATTAAGGTCGTATTCGTGAAGATTCTCATATTCGAGCATGATGATGCCACTATTTGGGGCATAAAATCGTTGTAGCAAAGCTGCAATCGTGGATTTACCATTCCCACTAAAAGATTGAATTTTTACTAAATAAGTGAGAATTTTAAAAAAAGCAATAGTATATTAAATAGGATCAATCAAACCTTTTTCCGACCAATGCAATCGTTTCACCGGCTGTAATATTAAAGTCTAAGCCCTTAAGGATCAAACTGTTTGGTCTCTCAGGATAACTAAAGTAAATATTTTTAAAGGTGATGTTACCATAGACTTTATCAAGTTTTTTCCCACCAGTTTGAGGTGTTGGTAAACTCATTATTTGACAGAGTGTTTTTCCTGCTTGTTTACTCTTTTCGTAATACGGAACTATTATTCATCGTAAAATAAGTGAATTCGATTAAGTAAAATAATAAATATATAAGGGTGAATTCGATTAAGTAAAATAATAAATATATAAGGATGAAAAAAATAAAATCACGGAGAATGACTTACTTGTGGCAAGGATGGTACTAGCTGATGTTGTGCAAAAAATAACTAACGTCCAAACAGTCAACATTCTGTTTAGGTCATAAGTACCTTGGATGACAAGATGAGCTCCGTACCAAAAGGTAAGTGCTGAAATTAGAATATTAATCGTGATGTGTCAATAAAATAAATAGCTTAAGGAATGTGGATGTAAGTGTGCATATATGAAAACATACCTTTGGTAAAATAACCAACAGCCTCTATTAAACCTGAAAAAAATCCAACAACAAGAGCTTTTCTCAATCCAATATCATACGGAACAAGAAGTGCCATCTTATATTCTTCTAATCTAATTCTCTCAATAGATAAAGAATAAACGACTCTAATAGATGAGATTGTCTAGAATAAAAATAACAAGAGTGTTAATTCATAAAAATCAAACATTAGAATATTATTATGGTTTATTCAAAACTCACTTGATAAAAAGCATTAGAAGCATCTTCGAGTGACTTTTTTCTCTGACTTTCATATTTTTGCAAAAATTTTCTTTGAAGCTCAGTAATCGACCAAATAATTGGCGCAAGTCCAAATCCCACAAGACTCAACTCCCAACCGACAATAAATCCCCATATCATACCGGCGAATAGGGAAATGATCACAACCACCATATTTCCCATGAAATGTCCAACGAGATTTTTAGCCGTGTCAGTATCGTTAATCAGGATGGTGGTTAATTTTCCGGATGCACTGTCAGCTTTATCGAAAAATGATTGAGATTGACGAAGAATACGACCAAATCCGAGATGACGTAAATAAACTGCCCATTGCTCTGATGCACGTTCCAGCAAAAAATATTTATAATGGGCGGAAAGCCCATTTCCAATTGCCAATAATAATACCACTATTGCCCAATCTCGTGCTTGTGATTGCAATTGATCTTTATCCGAGAGTGTATAAGTGGTCAATAACTTGGTCATAACGTAGGAAAACAGAGGCATCACAAATCCATTTACAATTGCTGCCAATAAGCCAGCAACATAAAGTAATTTATTCTCCATTGTGCTTTTCGCCAGTTGCCATATGCTCATCTTTATTTTATCTTCGGGAACTAAATTGGTCTGATTTGATATCATAATGTCAATTGGTTTTTCTGAATCATCATCATAGTAACTTAGAATTCCAAAATATGATAATCGATTTTCATTACGTTTATTCACTGACGCAGATGCACTTTGATTTAAAAGTTCCATATCAGTGTAATTTTCAATAAATGATTGTCGCCAACCTATTCTAGTCGCCATACTCAACGATCTTTGTAATAGTCCTGCGGAAGTTGATAAATCACGTTCTTCATATTGAACCTTTTCTTTTTTTGATGATGGAATAGTTAAAGTGTTATTATTTAAGTGAAGATCAAAAGATGCGCGCTTTGAATGTAGAATTTCTGCCTTTTGAGCTATCTTATAAAAATGTCCTTCTTCATTCTTTATTAAATCTTTCTTCAAGCCCCTTTCCACCAATACACCTTTATCCATTATATATAAAAGATCAGTCTCTTTAATATGGGATAAATGATGTGTGATAACCAATGTGGTTCTACCACGACGACAATTATCCAATGCTTTTTGCACTTCATGATCAGATATTAAATCCAATGCACTCGACGCCTCATCTTTTTATTAAAAGTGAATAATATTAGTATATGAATTATTATAAATGATGAATTCCTAATGAACATAACTCACCAAGTATAAGAATAGCAGGATCTTTGATCAAAGCTCTTGCAATCGCTATTCGCTGCCGTTGTCCACCGGATAAGCTTTGTCCTTTATCGCCTAACTTAGTATAATATCCATCCGCGAGTTTTTCAATATCATCATGTATGCATGCAAGTTTGCATGCTTCAATCACTTGTTCGAGTGTTACTCTCATAAAGTCTGGCTACAAAATAATTTATTCTATTAGCAAAGCATACAAACGCAGATAAAATTGTACATGGGTGCATATGTACATACCTTGCCATAGGCAACATTTTGAAATATAGTACCATCAAATAATACAGGTTCCTGACTTACAACACCAATCTGTTGACGTAACCATTGAGTATTCAAAATACGGATTTCACGATTGTCCAATTTCACTACACCATCTTTCACCTCATATAATTTTTGAATCAGTTGAGCTATCGTTGATTTCCCCGAACCACTTTGACCCAGTATTACTGTTGTCTGGCCCGCCGGAATACTTATACTAACATTTTGCAACACGTATGTATCCGGCCTACTAGGATACGCGAAACTAACTTGCTCGAATTCGATATTTCCTTCACATTTTGGTATCTTAAAACCACGTAAGGCTTCTATATCTAATATCGCGACTTGGGTTAAAAGTTCATTAACTTTATGTACTGCATTTTTCGCTTTAGCCATAAAAGTCAACAAGGGTAAGGTACTTCTCAACGCGCTAGCTCCCAAGAGACACGCATAGAATATACTAAGCACATCCCCTGGCGACAGTTTTTTATTAGCCACTAAATTCGCGCCATACCAGAATCCTTGCACAAACAACGATAACAAAAGAAATTGCATAATTCCTGTTCGTAGAGCAAAGATCCATGCGAGACTTGCGGAGACAATATTTGCTTCTTTCAAACATTCGAGGTGTCTTTTTTCTTCTTTTTCCTCCCCGTTAAATGATTTCACCGTTTTAATAGCTGATAAAGAATATTCGAGAATATTGCCGGCTTTTAAAAAAATTTCGCGCTCCTCTTTGATTAATGGCGTAGCTTTTCGCGATGTATAGTTTAACGCTAATAATAGGAATGGGACGGTGGTGCTGATCACTAAGGTAAGCGCGTAATTCTTATAAAACGCCAACACCATGCATCCAATGGCAGTCGTAAGATATTGTATAGCAAGTCCAAGGTTTTCTGATATCGCGTTTTGAATATCATCTGTATCTCTGTATTATTATTATTATTATTATTGATATTAAGTGATTAGATAATTGGATTTTAAAATACAAAAAAAATTAAAAGGATTGAAAGCAAAATATAACTTATTAAGACCAGTCAATAATCCACCAGAAGTAATTTCTTCTCGTTCAAAATACCCCAAATCCATTCTCAACAATGACTGAAAATAAATCTCACGCATTCGCTTTGTCTGACGTTCCCCAGTCCACATCCACATCGACGTCATCAAAGCAGACAAAATAAAAGTTGCGAGGCCTAACAGTACAAATTTCAACACCGCTTCTTTGATCTTTTCCTCAAATTTTCCTCGCGTAATGATCCCCGTTGATTGTTCGGCGAAAATATTAAATAAATCGCCTAATAAACGGGTCATCAACGGAATTATTAACCCATTGCAAAGACTGAAAAACATGGCGAGCATAATTAACAGATAGTCAAATGTTGTGGCGAATCGGAATATATGAAATATTGAGGTAGTAGTTGGATTCATGTTTGCATGATGAACAGGTTTATATATGCTAGTTTTGCGTGGTCTTTCGTTTGGTGGTAGAAAGTAATCAGAATCTTTTGAAGAGAAGGAATTATTGTCCTTTAGAGTGATGGAAGAATGAATACTATTATGAGATAGAGTAGCAGTTGATCTTGCATTATTATCATAATTATAATTGCCATTTGCGGAATTGACAGTGGTATTTCGTCGTTGTCTCGGCTGTGTTTGATTGTTCGTAGGTGGAAACACATACGCGTTCATATTTTTCAGAATATCCGCTCCACTATTACCATTGCTATTATTATTATTATTATTATTATTATGACGAGCGTTAAGAATTCCATTATTATTATCTATCACTACATTATTGCTATTCAAGTTTTCGTCAACTCCCCCCGTTGAAGCTACTGTTGGCGCAGGTCGAGAATGAAGTGCTTGTGGAGGTTGTAAAGAAGGTATTACAGTCGGCGGCAATAACGGCACTTTAGATGAATTTTCTATCGAGTCCATTGTTAAAGTGTCATTCGCGCTACTCAAAGAATCAGCCAGTGACTCCCGACGACTATCAAAAAAACCCGAAATATTTTTCTCTTCATGCTGCGGTTCTTCTTCTCGCTCGAAAGAGCGAAATTCTATTGCTTGATTAAAATTATTGGGATTTTTATTCGTATTGATAATTTTATTAGCCATTAAAATGTTATCATGAAGCAAAAAGAAAGCACAAAAGAAAAGTATTTATGATTTTCGAGAGTGAACAAGATCTCGTCCAAAAATAGTAAACTAGATAAATTGCAATTGAAACAATACACTTTTAATTTTGCATGCATGAACAATATGACGATCAACTAGTTTAGGACATTATCGTCATATATTGTGAGAAAAATTTTCCTATTTGTCGATATTGAATTTGATTTAACCACATATTTAGAGTTAGAATATCAGTCGCGCATTTGTTCACGTTACAAATTCATAGTATTGTTTCCGCAAAAATGCTAAAGGCCGTTATTATGTTATAAAGTTCAAATCATGTAAATAAATCACAGGGTTGCCATGAATGGAAATCGGACAATGGAATTCTGTTCAACCAATACTTAGTGTTCAAATTGTCTAATCAAAAGCGACATATGACATATGTAAACAATGTTTAATTCTTCGAATATCTCATAGAACCAGTGGTACAATCGATATCATTCGATTCACAGTGACAAGGCGAATCGAAGGTATGCCAAAGTTGCTACGAAAAAATTCGTTACAAATTGCAAAGCATCGTTTTACCATAAAAATGGTAATATCTCGGGAAAAAAGTATCCGTTTCGAATAATATCATTCAATTTACAATGATTAGACAGATCGAATGATATCAAAATCATTCGAATCCATACAGATAAATAAAATGCACACCTTCTCTAAATGTATGGTATGACTCAGCCCCAAGCTTATAATTGTTTTACTTTATAAATGCTAAGGGGGTTGCATTTAGGGAAGTTTATTTTTTTCCGTAAAACTTTGACACGGGATGTATCGGGGAACTAGCGATTTAATTCAAATCAGACGAATTGAATGGAATTTAATATCGTTCGATTCGTCGTGTCACTGCAAATTGAATGGTTTCGAAATGGATCACTGATATTCGAATACATTCTTCGCAGATCGCCGAATATACGTATTACCATTGAACAATGACAACTACATTACATAATAGGACATGTTTCAGTGTCCAATAAAAAATCCACTGGATATATTCCCCTTAATATTGTAGGAGCTTTTTAAGGTTTATTTCGAAAAGTATTCTTGACAAAGGCTGGTAATAATTACACGCTGTTCTAATTTATATTAATGTAAAGAACTTATCGAGTTTTCTTAGTTTTCGTAGTAAAAATTTTTTTTATGCATGTTCCTATTATCCGTTTATAAAACTTAATTTTTTTATAAAATATTTGAGATTTTTAAGAATATTCAAAGTGATGAATTTCTCGTCTTAATGCTAATTATTCCCTGCAAATTTTCTCAAAACTGTTCTCACTATGGGACTTAGCACTTCGGGTTCATGTTGATAAAAGGCCTACAAAAAAAATTCACTTAATACTTTCACATCTTTTAGCAAAAAAAAAAAAATTTCAATACTATTACCATTACTATCCCCATTGCAACCGAAAAGAAATACACATCGGCATTTTTGTGCAATTCAAATATCCAATTCCGTTGATACATGATCTTATACCAAGACTCCGCAGCTTTCGGAAGCACATACAAAGCCAAATCTGTTCGTCGTCTTTTATCTTCAAGGAAAATCGATAGACTCGTAATGAAACCTGTTATCCAATACAGGTATTTGTGATCCCAGGCTATTAATCCAGCCGTGACCAAATTTCGATGTAAACATATTTCAGTCAGATAACCCGAAACAAATGTGGCTAAGAATGCGCTAGATCTAACAGTATTAAAGGCGCTTTTCTGTATTCGATCTAGTGGGCTAAGATAAAATATTTTGCTTAGCATTGAATCAAAATTCGTGATCGATGGAAGAATTAAAGATATTACTTTTTGATAAAGTCTTTCATTTTAAAGACTAACATCGAAACTGTGTTTAAAGCTGTGTAGACCGGTAGTATGTCTTTAAATACTTTATAAAAGCGTTCGATGTCTGTGTAAATGCACGAATCGGTAGTTGGATGGATGATTGCACTAAAGATAAAAATTCTATCAATCAATCAACCATTCTTAAGGTTCCGATGGAATAAGTAATACTACTCACCAGGGTATGGTAACTGGATGTCGTCCCATTTCGGAGACTAATTTGACTGCCTTCTCAGTCCCCTTATATTTTCGAAGTATATTTAATGCCTCTTCCACATCTATTGGCATCTTTGTTGTGACGAACTTTTTGTTAAAAGCTAACGTTTCCCGTGAAACTCCCGCAGTTTTTACCATGAAATGCAAGAATTCCGGTGGTATAGTATTGGGTTGCATCTATTTGAATATCGTGAAATACCAAGTAAATTACGCTTTTCTTTTTAATCTATGCACCATGCAAAGAACTTACAGTGTATGCGTAAAGCAATTGTGCACTGCAAACAGCAAATAAAATAGAATCTCCATGTGGAAAATGAAAATATTCTCGAGCCTGTCCAGCATTATACACTCCTTGCATAGCCCTATAACGCATAATTGATGAGGTTTTAGATGATCAAATATTTGATAATTTATTCGAGCAAAATACAAAAAGACTAACTCACCGAACGAATAATTGCTGGGCGATTGTTATGCGTCTTTCACGTTTCTCTGCCAATATTGACAGTCCAGCGATTGAACCTATTAAATAATTAATGGGGTCAAATTAAATCGGTCAAAAATAAATAGACATCAAAAGAACAATAAACGTTATAGAACATACCAGCTACCATCCCATTCCACATATCATCTTTCCCTCGAGTGTGTCTTAACCCGTTGTTAATTAATTTCCAAAGAAAAGAAAATCCGCCAAAAGCTAAACCAAAACGCAACGCGTCTTTACCAAAAAATCCGTATTTAAATGCGCGTCCGATCCTTAACTTTCTTTTAAGTTACGTTGGTAAAATTAAATTATTAGAAAAAAATATCGAATATCACCCAACAAACAAAAAACTTTTGAGTATCGGACAATCACTCTTTTAAGCTGGCGGCAACAACATCTTGGATTAAGAGTAATTCACCTTTTTCGTAACATCATTGTTAAATGTAAGATAAAATTTAGCGCTCCACGTGCACCATGTGCCAAAAGATAAGTTCCTAAACAAGAAATACAAACTCGATCCGTTAAAATGATATCCGACGCGCAAAATAAACAAGATACCCTCAACTTACTTAGACCACCGGTTATTGCATGCGCCAATATCGCCTTATAGGTGTCTGGTTTCTTTACCTCACCTTTATCCAATTTTGGAACACCGTTTGATATATTCCCATTATTATTTTCAGATGGTGATATTTCTGTAACAACTTTTGTCACGTTAAAAGGTTTTAGGCCCTTCGTTCCAACTAGCTCCCCTCCATTTTCAACGTCTTTCTCATGTGGTGGCATGATTCGTATGCGAGATTAAATCAAAAATTACAAGAGAATTTGATATATCAGGAAGGAGTGTGAATCAAGGCGAGGTATCAAAGCGAGGGTCCAATCGACCATGCAGTTTAGACTGCATATAATATGCAATTTTGATAAAGCGAGTGCTTTTATGTAGGAAAACATTTATACTGTGGTTGAGAAATATGTTAACCAAAACTTTATAATACACTTGGGGCAAATAATCCAAATTTTGGGGTTGACGATTGTTTTGGGGAAAAATCAGGCGTGTGTATTTACTTTTAACCAATTAATCATTTTTCTGCTATTTTTATAATTTAATAATCCATTCAATACTAAGAAAAAAGGTTCATTATGCCAGTACTTCATAAAAATCGTCAAAGAAAAAGCTTCTTTCTTGTTTGCTTAGCATATTAACTGTAAATCAAGTTTGAATGGTATTTATAACTTTTCAAGTTGCTAGTAAAGAAAGAAAGTCTTCTTTATCATATCAAATGATCGATGTATATTGTGCGAAAAAATGTTTACTTTCTAATACAAGTTTTCCCTGTTCACACGGTGTTGCATAATTCTATATATGAATAATTTGATTATAATTTATTTATAGGAAAGAATTAGAAACTTTTTATTCTCTTTCTTGGAACTGTCGCTGACCCTTGTACATTTCTGCAATCTAGATGATGCATAATCATTGTTATTAGGAGAGAGAAATCGATGCTTAAAAGAATTACAATATTACCTGTTCACTAGTGGTAGCATCTTCAGGCGTTTTATCATCTCGTACTTTTATAAAGCGAGGGAAACGTAGAGATACTCCTTTAGTGGGATCACTCTAATAAATTGATTAAGTGACAGTTTGTTTACGCGCTTCGGATTATTATTACACAAAATAAATGTACATACCACACCGACAGCAGCCTTATAAACAGGAGAAATGCTCAAATCTGCGGTGAGAACTTCCCAAACCTGGCAAGGTTCAAACCATACATCCGGATTGGTATTCTTATCGTAATTGTAATAAGACTTTGGTGCTTCGATTTCATGCTGTTTCAAGAACTTGTAGTGTTCTTCGAGGACTGCATCAGAGAAACCGGTTCCTATCTTGCATATTGTTTGATACTCTTCATTATCGGGATCGTAACACGCCAGAAGAAATGCACCGTATAAATTTGTCCGTTTGCCACGTCCAAGATAAGCTCCGATCACAACCAAATCTAAGGAGTCGCCAACACCGGTCAAGTAGTCTTTTTTGAGCTAAATGTAACGAAATTTAATAAATCAGAATGAAAAACAGTAACACACAAAATAGAAATAGTATGGACAAACCTTCAACCAATTTCTTGACCTTTTCGAAGGCTCATATGTGGATTCCGGGCCTTCGCTTATTTTCACCATTAATCCTTCACAGTTGTCTTTGACACTTTCATCCAAGAATGTCTGAATTTCTTCGATATTCGCAGCGTCCATGTGATGCGCAAAAGCGAATTCTCCCCGTAAAGGTTGAAATGCATCGTACAAACTTTGCCTGCGTTCCGAAAATGGTTTTTGCAATAAGGACTTATTCGAACGTGAAATTTTGTTAAATTTTTCATGGTCAACTAATGGAAAATTTCAAAGTTAGTTAAGAATATTAATTACTTACCTCTCCATTTAAATATAAAATATCAAATGCAAATATGCAAACTGAGACTGTGATATCTTCTTCCTTTACATCTTTCCTTTTTCGAGTACTTAGAACCTGGAAAGGACGAATACAATGATTTTCATTATCCCATGCTACCACTTCACAATCAATTACAAAGGACTTGGTATTTGGTTTGAGAACCTACGATAAATTAGAAAAAAGAAACCAATTATTCTCCTAACAAAATCTAATTGAGGACAAGGAGTATTTTTTATATTACAAACTTTTGGAATCTTTTCAAGAATATCTGGAAATTTTTGTGAATTATCTTCTAGATTACGGCTATAAATTTTTACTGTGCCATTCTCAAGCCTGTGAATCTGGTAAAATTTACCACGAAAAGCGTTAATTTGAATAGCGATAATTATACATAAAAGGGAAACTCGAATTTTACCTGTCCTCTTTCCCCATCATATTTAAATTCGCACGTGAATTTGTGACCTTCAAGACGATCTAGAACTTCGGTGATGCTTTTTGTTGGATGTGCCAACATTGGTTTTACGGGTATCCCTAATATTCGAACGAAATTTTGGGAATCCGGTTGCAAAGAAACCAAAGAATAAAACTTGTAAGAAATTCCAAAATAAATATTACCTGGTGTCAATTTACAATGTTTCCTTAATCCCTTCACGCCAAATTCCAACAATTTAGGGACGATAATATCATACGATGGTACCTCGCTTTTTGGGGGTAAGAACAAAAGTTACGATATAATTGAAATAAAATGAGTTCGCATGCATTAATTAATTTCACCTATAAACTGCCTTTAGAATATTTGGGGCTTCTGCAAGTTCAGACGCTTTAGCAGATTTTGATAATTTTTGATACTCTATCAAATTCAGTAATATAAACATGAGGTTTTTTTTCCTTAATGTATTTTTACACAATGTCATCCAAATAACTGATATTTATTTACGAGGATCCTTCAATACAATAGCTTGAGCGAGGCTGATCAAAACCGTTTGTTCGGCTAAACCAATGCGAAGTTTTCCTTCTAATGACCTACAAACATTTAATTATTTTATTAGAGCAATAATTAAAAGAAACTTTAAATAGCACATTTACCTGATCAAAAATTTGGCCTCTTCTCCGGTGGTGCACGCAGAAAGAAGTCCTTTGATCTCACCAAGTTTTCTGGCTTGCGACTATAATAAAGAATAATGAATAATCCATTGGGGATTTAGCAGACTTAAAATATCTTAAATGAATATTTACTTCTTGCCCATTAGTCGTAGCGATTGTTTTCATTCTATTGAAAACACTAGGGATGGTTAAAGATTTTGGCGTCCATAACGTAGATTGAGATTGCTTACTAGCCTATAGCGGAAAAGGATAAATCATATACAAATCCTATCGTTAACAATAAAAGAACCAATGTGACTTTATACCTTTGCAACCGATCCTAAATCTCCCAATGCTCTCATATCTTTCTTAATAGAAGTAGAATTTCTTCCCGTAGATTCCGCAATCGCCTTCACCAAAATACCTTCACCAACTCCTAATTCCAAATTTTCATATTCTGGACAGATCTGAAATATAAATGTTGAAAAAGTGAATGATCAATCAGCAAAGTATATTTTTCTTATACTTACGCGATTCAGGCATAAATATAAGGCCTGCAGTAAATTTTCAGGAGTTAATTCAATCACTTTTGTTAGAAATGCTGTCAAATATTCCTGTATAATCAATCGTTTTGTTTCTTTTTCAATTGCTTCAAATGTTTTACATAACGTGGTAAAAGGGACACTAAATAAGGAAAATTAAAGAGACTTTATAAATAAAACTTTCTTGAAAAAAATCTTGAACCAAAAAAAAATTGACATTACGGTTCGCCTTTTGTCCAATTGGCAAATTTATTAGTCTTCGACACGTTCCCACTTGCACTATCAATATCAAAAAATGCGTCAATTCACTGCCAACAATAGAAGTTTTGAATGCATTAACAGTGTATGAAACAAAAATCAGGACATACATTTTAGCGGCCACTTCATTTATCGTGTCTTTTTCGCTTTCCTCAGCTTCATCCTCTTTCGAAACTTCTTCAAGTACTTTTTTATCGACTTCTTCCTTCTTGTCATCCTTTGAAGTTTTTGAAGCCTGTTTTCCCTTACGTGAGGTTGCTTTTTTGACTGGCATCTTCTTTTCAAGTTTTACTTTCTTCGGCAATCGCGTTTTAACGTTATTCTCTCTTTCCTCTTCTGAATTGACTTCGTCCTTTGATCTTTTTGCGGGTCTTCGAACTAGAAATTTGTCCATGTTGGAAAGGTGGAAAAGTAAATAAATGATAAAAACTCGAAAATCGGCACGGTACGCGTTTTGTTGTTGATGATTTAGTGTAACATTGCATCTGTCCAGAAACGAAAGATGTCGAATTTACCTTTTCGACAAATATTATCAGACGAGGAGACGAGGGACCTTGAAACCGGTAAAAATAGGGATATATGTAATAATTTAATTTTTGCTTTTTGTCATTTTCGTCATTATATTCAAGGTGAAAATATTATTGTCATAAAGTTGACGTATATGTTGCCGACATTGAACCCAAAGAGACAGAAAACGTGCTAAAGTAAAATTTATACCGTATGAGATTTCTTATCTATTTATTGATTGATTGATTGATTGATAAATTCACCTCTATCCCTTTCACCAACAGGTTCATCAAGAAAAATTTACCATCGCTTTTCCTAAATTTAAATCATGTCAAACGAGTTAGAAAGATTTATAATGATGAAAAAGATAAAGGTAATGTAAATTTTTATCTACATGCGTGTCTGAATTCTAATTTACTAACAGCCCGATTGCTTTCGAATTTTTTTCTTTGAAAAGGAAAAGGATTCACCCTCACAATTCTCTTTTGTCTTACCACTGTGATCTCGCTTGCTGATCTTCAAGCTCTGCTTGCTTCCAACGAATTCGATAAACTAATACCACGATTACGCGTTGTAAAGGTTTCAAAGTATCCACCAATTACACGAGCACAATTTGATGCGTGGAAACAATTATGGCCTTTGAATTTTCGTGAACCTAAAAAGTAAGAAAAAATCCAGACAGTGCGTTTTTTTTGGTTGATTTCATGCGTTTACTTCTTATTTCTTAATTGGTCTCATTTTTTCTTTAGTATCTCAAAACTCACAATACAAGATATTGATATGCTAGCTTCTCACATGGATAGAGCAATAGAACTCGCACAATTAGCTAAGTCAAAAGGAGAGGTTTGTATACATTACAGACTGATACTTGACTATTGCTTATACTCTTCATGTATCACGGGAACTTTGTCTCTTTTCGTTTTCTTCGTCCCTACTCCTGGTTTGATTTAGTACAGATACCAATTGGATGTGTGGTGGTAGACCCACGTACAAATACTATTCTTGCGGAATGTCATGATACCCGCGCATCAACACGACATCCACTTTGTCATTCCGTGTTAAATTGTATTAATGCCGTAGCAAATTCAGAAATATCTTCAAGACAACCTAAAAATGCGAATGAGGAGCCTATGTCACTTGACAATATTTCTCGCCCTCATAAACGAAAGGCTAAAGATCTTGACGATGATAATGATGATGATGATGAAAATAATCTACATCAACCAAAAAAACAGACAATTATCATTGAAGATGAGGAAAAAGGCGATGATGAAGATGATGATGAAACATCCTCCCTGGAATCAAACATTGAGATTATCTTAACATCACCTCTCTCATCCAAAATCCAAAATGCAAATATACAACAAAGTGGCGATGCCTCAGCTAACTCCGCATATCTTTGTACCAATTATGATGCATTTGTGACTCATTAACCTTGCGTAATGTGAGTTTGAATTTGATCTAGTTGGTTTAATATTGTTAATGATTGTATTTGAAATCCTGTTATATTTTAGGTGCTCGATGGCACTTGTTCATTCACGTATCGGTCGAGTATTTTATGCGAAAGAAAATCCAAATTCTGGTGGCCTTGGCTCCACATACAAGATACATACTCATTCTTCACTCAATCATCATTTTCAAGTGTTCGTGTGGGATAATATAGTAGATGCTCGAATAGAAACACTCAACCAAATAGATACCTAGACCTTTGGATGCTATTTTTGATAGCTTATTAGTTATATTCATCGCTTAAGACTCTTACCTAGCAACATACACAATCGTTCCCCCCCCCGGTATGGTCACACCCCTCGGGACCCTGACTATAGGGGAGGTGTGCATACATATTTGTAGTCGCATTAGTGGCCCAGAAAAAGTGCGACTTTTGAGGGGAGTGATTATACGTGAGGTGACTATAACAGGGGTAAACTATATATGTGTATAATCATGATTTTATTAAATACTATTGTGAAATGGCGATCAACGCTTGAAGAATAACCAAATAAATAATCAAGCATTTTTTCGTCGACTAGTAATAATTCGTTGATGAACTTGGCTATACATTTGCATATAATTAGGATCCGAAGACAAAAAGTCATCAACTGCCAACTTTTCCATTTTTCTTTTCAATTCTAATTGCGCGTGTTGATCACGCGAAAACGGTTCAAATCCAAATCGAAGTTGATTATTAGACTCTTCTGTCGTGATATTACTCAACACCTGTAATCGATGCAACGAATCGCGAATAGCCGGTGACGAGTCGGACGATATCACTGGGCCGACCTGCGATAGCCCGATAAATGTGGTAATGAACACTTGCCGGAGGATTATTATTTGTTCAAATATGATTGGGCGGTGTGGTAGGAAAAGTGAAGGGAAAAGTGGAGGACTGGGGTAAAGTATCATTTTTGCTTCGATGCATGCCATCCCAAAGAATGTTACAAATCGCCAGAACCGTCCAAATTGTCCTTTACCCAATATATTCAGGATTAGAAGAAAGAGACCGGTGCCAAGATAGAATTCTACATAAGAAGTCCATCCATGATTTAAATAGTCTCGAATTGCTTTAGCATTATCCCATCTATTTATATCAGGTCCAAATCTATTCAAAAGTTTATTTATTACTATTTTTGGGATTTATGAAATCATCACGAACTTATTATCATTAATTACCTGTCGTATGCGAACCTCTTCACCGGATCATTAAGCGTATCATACGCTGTACGTATTAATATATATGTGGCCTCTGCTTCATTAGTAGGATTCTTATCAGGATGATATCGAAGCTGCCTAGATACGAACAATAAATCCATTGATTAATCATTAATACATGTAACACATGTAAAAAAAAATATATTAACGCTTACATACAGCTTTTTAAAGTTAGGCTTTATATCTTTAAGATCATGATTCACCTCAAGAATCTTGTAATAGTTTGGTTGTAACGACAGATCAACCTCGATAATTGTGTACAAGAGGTACGCGAGCACAACTAATATATATATTCGTTTGTAGTGTCTTGCATATTTTGGCTGTCCCGGTTTGGGTACATTAGCTCCTGCGCGATAAGTTAATCCGTAATAGAGGCTTTGAAGCCAGTTTGTCACTATTTGCGGCAGAAAAGTCCACCCGATAAAACTTAGCAAATAACTAGTCATTTTTCATATTGGAATTTTGGAAAAGATGGACTTTCCAGTATCACCACCAAAATCTGTCACGGTGTTTGGTCCGGACATCGGAATATGAATCGGATTCATGCTCCACTCAAAAATTCTTATTAGTAATTTAATTATGTAAATATTTGGAATTGATCCAACTTGAAATTTTATATTATTATATATTATAGTCCAGTACAAAAAGATTAATATATTAGATAAATTAATAGATTATTTTTTCAAAATAAAATTTTAATTCTGTCTTATTTAATTTAGTTATTAGTATTGGGATTTATTTAAATGTAAAAATTTTTATTATATATTTTTTATAAAAAAAATTTTACTAATATAAACTTTTTTGAATTGTTATTTCTTAAATTTTACTATATAAATTTGATTAAAATTAATATAAAAATTATATAATAAATAATTTAATTACTAAACTTTAAATCTTAATATTTTTATAACTACAAATTCAATTTTTATGAAATTTAAAATATATATTTATCAAATATAAAGCAACTTACTTATATAATTTAAAGTTTTAATTTTATAAATTGATAGTAATAATATTTAAAATATTTTTTTTAAAAAAAATAATTTTATTTTAGTTTTTTTAGTAAAGTAATATTTTATT